GAACGACGTCAATTTGCAATGTAAACTTTACTGACATATCAGTTTTTATCGTATTGCCAATAAATTTTCGTTATTAATGGAACACTGCTTCGCATAGATTTGGTTAACATCTTTCCCTATAATTTTCACAGATTTTTACTGGTTTCCCGAAGACGTACTCGGTTCATTAATACTGCATTTGCGAACTCTGCAATCTTCCTTTTTGTGTCCAAAACGGTTACAAAAATAGCATCGTAAAACACTTTTCATGCGACAATCTCTTGAAATATGTCCAAATTTGCCACAATTAAAACAACCTCCGGATCTAATGGGAACTTTCTCATGTTTTTCAGGTCGTGACCTCTTTAATTTTCCATGTTCCTCCTGGTAGCTCCGGTAATTTTCAAGAGACGCTAAAAATCCTGCATATAATTCATTTGGAGTGTTACATTTGAAAGCCCTCGCATTTGCCTGCAATTCTAAAGGCAATCCTTTAATCAAACAGGAAATTGTAGCTTCGTTGTCCAACCTACACTGCTGTGTAAGTGACAGTTTCTCATGGTAATAATGAGTCATGGTTTCACATTGTTCTTTCTTTCTTGCAACAAGTTCCTCTAACACAGTTGCATAATCTGTGGAACTCGGAAATGCAAGCGTCAATACTGTTTTCCACTCATCCCAGGTTTTCTTATAATCCCCAAACGATGAAACCATCTTCTTGCTGATCCCCGCAGTTTTTCTTGCATAAATGCAGTTTTCTGATATTCCGACCACTTGTGTATTTCTCCCAATTGATCGATTTTCTGAAGCCATCCGGTAACCGTCATTGTGCTGTCATCTGGATCAAACAGTGGAATTATATCGCCACGAACAGATGATGTCGACGGTTCCCCCAATACAGTTTCCAAGTTGGCCGACTCCAAGTTTGCTCTGAGCTGGGTGCAACTTTTATTAAAAATCTCACTGACCTTCCTTTCAATGTGTTTTTCCAGCAAACTTTGGTAAAGAGCATTTTCATCATCACTCATCTTGTCATCATCACTCATCTTGACCACTTTAATGGGACACACTGTATACAGTTAATAGCAGTTATAAATACGTTCTTTTTTTCTGTGAAAGACACGTGACACTATCCCACTTCTGATGTTATCAACAAAAATAATTATTGCCAATAATTTCCTTTAATCAAAGTAAAATGTACATTCTCAATTATTATTGTTCGTTATTCAACTGTCTAATTCTAACTAACGTATCTTTCGTTTCTATTCCTTATCCAACTACGTTGTTTAAATAAAAATGTTTATACAATTATGAACAATCAGTCTATTCAACGTTTCTGGACACGCACACTGGCCTTGGCGTTCCAGCCACCGTCGCTCGGTCTGTCTTTCCCGCTCTTCATAACAATTTATTATAATATTCTTTATGTGTCTTATAGTTAACTCATCTTCATTATCTGTATAGGGTGGTGATACATTTTAATTTTTTCTTTTATTTTTTTGTGGCGCAGCAATAGATGATCTGCGTTTACGTTCAGATACATTTTCGTTTTTACTCTTGTCAATATATTTTTTACAGATATACAGGGTGATTCAGTCATAATGTCATTAATTTTAAGAGCAGATAGAGAAAAATGAGTATAATACGATGGCGTGATTAAAAAAAAATTAAATGCACATTTAAGCTGAAAAAAAAATATTTTCAAATCATTATTTAACGCCCTTTTCAGGCTGTTACTGACCGGCTGACGTCAGCCGGCTACGATATGAACAAAGTGACCTAGATGCAATGTTGCCATATTTATATATTTTCGCACATAGGAAGACAATAAATAAACGGTTTGCTCACGTCGGCCAATAATAATTTAAAATGCTATAAATTATTTTTTTATAATTATGCAATCAACATATTAAATTGTTATTGTTGCCCAGCAAGAACCTCGAGGAGGTCTGAGCATGACTCATTTTTTATTAACATCATAGTGATAATTTTTTAATTTGCTGTAAGCCTTCTACTAAAAATTGAAAGTAACGCGGCCCATTCAGATGTTCAGGTAGAAAATGCGGCCCAATTAAACGATCGCCATATACTCCTGCCCATACATTGACACCGAACTTCCTCTGAAAGCTAAACCGACGAGTAGTGTGCGGGTTTTCATCTGACCAAATGTGACAATTATGGCTGCAAAGAAATTAGCTGTATTTCACTTTAAATAAAATTTAATATTGAAGTTACAAAACCCCAAGAGTTCAAATAATTTAAATTTCATTTCATAACCATTTCAATTTCATTACAGGAATAATGACATAAAAACCAACACTCACTAGATAAATTATAAAGAGAGGGTGAAATGTATTTAAATATTGACTCTAAGTAATAGAAGATAAAAATACAATCGGACAGAGACAAATAAACAACTCAGTACGTGTTTCCGACCTAGGCTAACCTGTGTCGAGGTCAATAACTTTCTAATTTGCACGTGTGCACTTTAGTCTAGGAGCCAGACAGAGTTCCGTTGCCAACTAGAATCCCACGGCTGCAAACAACTTATTCTAAAGTATTTTGACCTTCTGAATCCAAAAATCTTGGTCGCAAAGCCTGAAAGTGGTCAGATTAATTGTTATCAACAAATTAAATGTTTAAATGGCTGTAAAAAGTTTATTTTTATAGCTAGTACACGGAACCTGATCTGGCTCCTAGACTAATACGAACTGTAGTAGGATCGTATTCCATGCAAAGTAGAGCAAAAAGTTGTCGGTCTTTTATCAAAGAAAAATCGTGTCATCAATGAATAGGGATGATTGTTTTCGAATGTACGGTTATTACAATTTATCATTTTTAATATTATTAACGTTTTCACGTTTTATAATTTATTATGTTAAATAATACACAGTTTTAGTATTTCAGTTTATTATTCAATTTGCAGTTGCGTATAACCAAAGTTTACATAATAACTGTAAACTTTAATGTAAATCTAAACTTTGGTGTAGGCACTTATTGTTATTGAGAAAGCAATACTTATGTTTTTTACCTGTTTAAAATGCCAGCACGAGTAAAACAGAATTCATCCATCCAGAGCACTTTGTTAATAAAGTTCTGCTGCACTTAGGAACCAATTGCAAAATTCAAGACGATTGGGAAAATCAGCTGCTTCTAAAGCTTGAACTTTTTGAAAATGTGTTATGTTAACTCCTTTGCGGGAAAAATGCGGGAGATATGGAGGGTGGTAGATTTGAATAAACGCTATAAATTGTTAGGTAATGGTTTTGTAACCTTGTGTAGTGTATTTTGTATATTCGGGTATTTAGTGTGCCGACTTTTTTTATTTGATAAAATACAGTGTGCCTACAAACCTCTGCCTTATGTATTTTCTTTTAACGAAAGTTGACTTCGAGAAGTCAGGCTTGTTAAAACATTTTGCACTAAATTATTAAAATTAGTTATAATAAAATGCAGCATGATCCTTTATTTACTTGCATTTTATTGGTTTCGTACATATGTATCCGTATACTAAAGCGGATTAATTAAATGTGAACACAGATTATGATGTGAACTTGGCAACGCTGTTTGCCTCAGCTGACGATTTGTTCGTGTTACGTTACAAAATTTTCCGAGCATCCGGGCATCTGGCAGGGCCGCCTTCTTAGCGGAAGTTATGGGTTGATTTCCTTCATTTTTAAAAGTCGAGTAAAAATTTTTTTTCCGATTTTCTGTCTATTAAGTCTTCCGAATACGTGATTAAAATTAATGACATTATGACTGAATCACCCTGTATATTAGAATTTCGAGCAACTTTCAATGACCACTCACAATTTTAAAAGAAGATATTTTTTTGGCAAATATTCCAAAAAGTTTTGTTTTTTCCTCTATCCAAAATTTCTGATAGATCATCTTTTGCAAAATTTTCAATAATCGATGAGTCTGCATTATGATTAAAATTAGCCAATGAATAAATATTGTTATACCCTGTATAAATTAGTAATTTACTCAAATATTCGGGTAGTGCAAAATATTCTAAATTTAACTTTTCTATAATTAGCACTTTCTGAGTTTGCCATTATTTTAGATAATTTGTATTTCTGCAAGAAGGATTCGTGTAATATTGGACATTTTAGTAGATCACGGAGATAGGCTAACTAACATCTTCAAAATCGTGAAAAATACTGATAATTCGAGTTAAGGGATGGTCGAGGGCTCAATCGATTCGGAATGACATCTAGAAATATATGCATAAAAATCGCATTCGCACATAAACAATTGTAAAAATTATAAACAAATAAAGATTTAAAAAAATTGGTTTCAGCTTTTTGCAAATAACTCGTGAATATATATAAGTGTTAGCATCAATTTGAAAAAGGACCCTACAGAAAAGTAAATTTCCTATAAAAATGTCCTAACTCCCGAATTTCTATAGTCATTATTTATAATTTTAATTTAATATTGAAAATAGGATTTTTAGTGTCGAAAGCAATGTACGTACGGCACACAGTAGGAAATATGGGTAATTTATTTTTTATTCTTCAAATATGCTTAATTTTATGATCCTGATGCGATAATGTTATATACCTATATAGGAATTTTTTAAATCGAGTGAGAACCCATCAGCCTCAAGACCAAATATAATTCGGTATTTAAAAATAAAAAAATAAAAAATTTCGTACCTCCAACCTTCTGATATCTACTGCGCCTGCGTTGCAATTATACCTTTAATTTTCAATTCCCCTCCAATCCCGCTCAGTCAATCACGTCTACATGTTGAAAATGTACGTACTGTTAATTATTTGAATTTCCTGCTAATTTTTCGACCGCGCTCTAATTGGTCGAATCGTGACGTAAGCGATCCATCTCGAGTCGAAAAGCCAAGGCCATGTTGGTTCAAAGTCACCCCTTTCCTACTGTCATGCTCATCGTTGTCCTCGTCGTCGTCATCCGCCTTCTTGCTGTAAATAAAAATAATGACTTTGATTAAATAAATACACAGAAATATGTTAATAATTTAAAAATAATTTATAATTTTTTAGTGAAGGACTTGGAAAAAGATATGGAAAAAAGTATGAAGAGAAGAGGAGAAGAATATTATAATCTTTTGTCAGAAATTGAAGATAAATTTGTTTCAAAAAGGAAAAGGATGAATATTACCTCTGGATCTATCAAGCAGAAAGAAAGTAAATCAGATAAGAATAAAAAGAAACAAAAAAACTAAATGTTTTGACATAAATAGATGAAATATTCTATTATTTCCAACATTAATCTGATTAGTAAATAATGTGAAGTTTACTCAAAATATACCATATAATAATTAAAATATTGTTTTTTATATGAAATGTAAAGATTTTCTTTTGATGTAGTAAAATTTCTGTAAATGCGTTTATTTTTTATTTATTAGATTATTCGTAAAATTCTGTTTTGCTTTGCTGTTATATATAGGGTGACTCAGAACTTATCAAAAAACATTTTTTTAATATACAGGAGACTTAAAATACAATTTTATAAATAAAAATCAAAAAGGGCAGTTCGAAAACTATTTAAAAATACACGTCTGCACGGCACTAGAAACTGGTCCCCTGTAAAACCTGACATTGCGCAAGGCAAAGCATGCAGTCGGCGACCGGCATGGCGGCAAAGTGTAATAAAAAAATGAACGGACAAAAAATTGAAAGAATTTCTCAAGGAAAGATATAAATATTTTATAATACTGTTTTATAGCTGCAAATTCAACTGCTTATAATATATTAATACTAAAATCGGATTTCAGTAATCGGAATCGCCTGGGGCTACGTGGAGATAGAGCGAATAGTGCACAACGCTATTAGAATGCATTCCGATGACGCTAGAGACTACAGTAGCCCAGCGATGTAAAGGTTGAAAATATTAGAACTTCAATAATATTTTTCTCGGAAAGTATAAGGATTTTACAAAAAAATTTCGTTACTTCTGCTTCTTTTTACATGACCATCTATTTCCAAATTTTTTTGGATGTTAGTGGAAGTTAGTACCCAATTTAAATATACAATTTAAATTTGTCCGTGTCCACCTAGTGCGCGTAAGTCCAATATCAAGGTTAATAAAATATATAACTTAATTTTTTTTTCTACAAAGTGGCCTACTTTCCCGAGCTGCACAAAATGAAAATATATTTGCATATACAGGGTGTCCAGTTTTTTCTGGGCAGGTACCAACTTAATTTTTTTTAATGGAAACCTATATTTTTGATGGCATTATCGAATTCTACGTGAAAAATTAACGGGACTTTGTGTTATGATCCCTATTAAAATATTGATAGTTTTCGAGATAATCGACTTTTAATTTTTTTTTCTTATGTTCCGTCACGTCTAGTAGTTGACATAATTATGATTGTATGACGGCTAGAAATTATTTTTTTTTCAGGAACTGTAGAGTGAAGATGGCTCTTCCAAAAAATAATAAAATAAAATATACAGGGGGCAAAAGAAATCGTGCCAAACCCTGTGTTTTATGATTTCATTAGATGCCTTTCTGTAGACCCTACAATTTTTAAATAGCTTTCCCGGAGCTTTTGAAAACTCCAAGGTTACTACTAATTTCCTGGCACTAATATTTGGATTTTCAATAGCAGACGCCACAACTTTAAACTAAATATTATCGTTGTTACTTCATGTATCCTGGTAGTTTTCTCATAATTCGCATTTGCTGTTCATTCAAACCTTTCCTTCACATTTTGAAAACAATGGAAATCTGTAAATTTGGATTATTTGCTTTGTTAATACGTGCTACTAGCAAACATTTCCCATATTTTGCTAATTCTTAATCACTTGTAACGATTTTATGCTTTTTTGATTTTATTTAGAAATAAATGGTAACTTTCTATAAAGACTCCTTTATTAAACTGAAATATCTAAATTTTTCAGTTATTAATTTTTATTTTAAATAGTGTAGCTAGACAACTAATAAATTTAATAAAAATACCCTTACACAGAACGTCTACTGCTCCTTGAATCCCTTGAAAATCTTGAAAACTCCTTTAATGGATTTAACCTACTTGAAATACTTGAAATCTCCTTGAATCGAATGGTCCTTGGAAAATTTGTTCGCAATCATTTTATTTAATTACAATTTTTAATTAATTTAATTTTTTTTCTCCTTATGTTATGTTGAATCCGAAAATTGCTAAAATTCGGATTCAACTAGCTTTAGAAGTTTTAGTCGAGCATAACCACTTTGGTGAACTTATTGCTGAAGAAATTGAAAAGGATTGCCTTTATAGAAAATGACGCTGTAAAAAAAGAATTATTAAAGTTTGATGAGAAAAAACATCAGCTAGACGTATTTTTTTATTAAACTGTGTGCTGAGCAAAAAATATCTGCGAATTTTGTCGAATTTGTAAAATGAATATTAGTATTTTTTCATGGAAATGCTGCTGTAGAACGTAGTTTCTCAACAAAGAATTCCTAGTTGAGAATCTACAAGAACAAAGTCTTATATCTCAAAGATTTGTACATGATTTTATTATTGTTAATAATAACGGTGATGTAAAAAATATTAAAGTAACTAAATCAATGATTACTGCTTTTAAATCCTCTTCTGCAAATCGAAAACAAGCTTTACAAGACAAAAGAGAAAATGATAGTGGAGAAAAAAAAAGAAAAAGAAAATTGGTTGAAGCAGCAGATTTAAAATTGAGAAAAAAAGAATTAGAAATGATAATAAGTGAAAATCAGAAAAATGTAGTACAATATGTTAGGGGCGTATACATATATTGGGCGTGGACCATTGGAGGATACTTGATACTTATAATTAATTTTGAAATAAACAAAACACTTACTGTGTTCACAAGTCAGGGTCTGGCTGTCGTCAGGAGCGACCTCTGGCAGTTAGCTAAGCTCAAGACCTTTTTTCCGAAAATAAAAGAAACACACATGAGTACCCAAGCATACCCTCACCTTAAGCATAACAACTTAAATCAATTACTACTGTTTAGATATACTTTTCTCAAATTGCTGCAGCTAACTCTACTCAAAACATCTTTTACTGATATGGCCAATTCATTCAACTATTTATCAAACATCAGGCTAACAATGCAAACCGACCAAACCACCTCTGCACAACCAACATTGGCTGAAAAACAATAGCACTGAGATAGTTCATGGCCAGACCATCCGTACCGGAGCCAGACTGTATCACCGCAGCTAACAGCCTCCTAAGGTACCCTCCGTGTCACCGCAGCTAACGGTTCGGACTGTATCACCGCAGCTAACAGCCCTAGGATACCCCGCTCATGGCCAGACGCGTCCAATTCCAGAACCAGACTGTATCACCGCAGCTAACAGCCTCTGAGATATCCCCCGTGTCACCGCAGCTAACGGACGGACTGTATCACCGCAGCTAACAGCCCTAAGATATCTCCATACCTCAGAACTAGACCGTATCACCGCAGCTAACGGCCCTTCACAACAACTCTCAACAAAACAATAATAGGCAGGTCTGGTCAAGCAAACATTGCCACCAATTTCCACAAATGATTCATTTCAACAGTACAGTATACTTAATTAACAATTAGTAAGCATGCCAAGATACTCAGTGATAACTCATCCTGTAATTCACAATTACAAGAACTCCAATTATTTCCTCTTATTGACACTGTTTTTAAACAACACACACGCACGCACAATTCACGGTCTTTTATAAAATGAGGCCTATATAGGAACCGTATTAGGGTTCGACTAAAACAGGGAAGAAGGCATTCATTCTTTATCAATGTTTATATTAACATCACACCTCGGGCTAGTCGGCGCATCAGCCTTCTCAGCGTCTTTAGTCAAATAAATATCTAATATAGGATGTCCCTAACAGTCGGCCATCCTGTTCTTACCTCGCCTCGAGGTAAGAATGTCCTGGTCACTTTCACTTGAACTTGAAAGAATAACTCCATCTTCACCACTTTCGGAATCAGAAGAGTCAGACACCTCCATTTGGTAGCCATGGTTTCATTTTGTCTACTGCTACTGTTCTTTTGTATCTAGACGCTCTTCGTGTTCGGTAAGTCTCATTCATATCAGTTACTACATATCGTATCATTTGGTAGTACCTCATGAATCACCATGGGACCACTATACTTTGGTAATAGTTTTCTACTTGTGTTTGGAGCAATTTCAACTTTTACAATTAGAACTACATCTCCTTGTTTATAAACCCTTGGCTTTTTCCGTTTCTTATCATAACGTTCCTTCTGTTTTTCTTGGTCTCTAGCAATTCTTTGTGCAACCTCTTTACGCAAGTTTGTCCTATCTTCTACCATTTTTGGTATTCCTTATATTTCTTGAGCTAGCATAGGGTTTACAACTCCTCTTGGTTGATACCCATACAGAAGTTCAAATGGTGTTTTCCCGTACTTTTGCTAACAGCAGTGTTAATTGCAAATTGCAACCTAGATACCTCCTCATCCCAGCGATTTTCCTCTGGAATGGATGTTAGCAACGCACTCAATATGGTTCGGTTAAATCTTTCATTTTGCCCATTGACTCTAGGAACATTAAATGTTAACTTCACATTTTTCTTTTTGCAAAAGTCTTTAAACCGTTTAGAGGTAAAACTTGATCCTTGGTCACATACTAATCTAGCAGGTAACCCATAATGACAAAAAGTTTCGATCAGAAATACTATAACATAATTTGTTGCAGTTGATCTAACCGCCTTTAAAACAATATATTTGGTAAACGAATCAACTTATGTGATTAAATACTTCTTTCCATGTTTACTTTTAGGAAAAGGTCCCAAATGATCTAAATGTACCATGTGAAATGGAACGGCTATTTTCTCTATTGGATGTAAAAAGCCTTCTTGTGGACCTGTTGCCTTCTTACTATAAAGTCAAGATATGCAACACTTAATGTATTTCTCAACATAGGTTTTCATGCGAGGAAACCAATAGTGTTGACATAAACGATGTAATGTTTTCTCTACATCAAAATGTCCCAATTCGTCATGTGCTGCTCATACGATCTGCTGTCTCATACCTCTTGGAATAACCCATAATAATCCACGAGCAGTGATTCTATATACTCTACCGTCTCGTAAAGCATATTCTTTATAAACATTATGATCGTGATCAGTCTGTGGTGGTTTTAATAAAGTCTCCCTAATAATGTGACTTATCTTTTCGTCAATAAGTTGTCCTAAGAGAACCCAATCAGCCCGATCAATTTTCAGGATATCTTCAGTAGGTTTTTCTGAACTTGAAGGGTTTCTACTTAACGAATCAACATGTCTCATTCGCTCTCCAGGTCGATAATGTACAGAAAATGAAAACTCTTGTAGTTGAAGCCACCAACGAGCTATACGTGGTATAATTCCTTCTTTGAACTTGTTGCTTTCAAAGCATTGCAGTAAGTAACAACTCTGAAGTTTAGTCCAAGAAGATAAACTCTGAATTTTTGCAAGCTTTCGACTACTGCTAATGTTTTCAGTTCATACGAATGATACTTTTCTTCTGCTGACGTAGTCTGTCTACTAAAATATGCTACTGGATGTAATCGTTTGCCGCTCTGTTCCTGCAGCAATATTCCAGCTATTCCAAGTTTGGATGCAACGGTGTGCACCTCGGTAGGATAAGTCGGGTTACAGAGTACTAAAACAGGTCTGGATACTAAAGCATCTTTCAGTTCTTCAAAAGCACGCTGGTCTTCTTCTCGCCAATTCCAACTTTGACCCTTTTTAATTTTGCTGGTTAAGCACTTCGCTTTTACTGCATAATCCTTGATGAATTGTCTGAAGTAACCAGTAAGACCTAGAAATTGACCCACTTCATGTACATTACTTGACTTTTTAAATTACATGACAGCCAAAGTTTTTGCCTGTCCTGGCCTAATACCTTCGGAACTAATTTCAAATCCGAGGTAGCTTACACAACTCATCAGAAAAGTACATTTGCTAAGATTTAAGGTCAATCCAGCATTCCTTAATAATTCCAATACTGTACGTAAATTAGCTAGACCAGTTTCTATATTTTCAGAATGAATTAAAATATCTAAGTACTCAGCGGCTATAGATTTTGCAGAAACTAGAGAATTTTGCTTATGATTCGCTGAAACACGGACGGAGCATTGGTCAGTCCGAATGGAACTCGATTATATTCAAAACTTCCATCTGGTGTCACAAAAGTAGTCAGGTGTTTGCTAGCTTCAGCTATGGGCACCTGATGATATCCTGACTGCATGTCAAGACTGGTGAAGTACTTGCTGCCTTGAAGTCTATCCAACTGGTCATCTATCCGTGGCAGTGGATATATATCCCTAACAGTTAGACTGTTTAATTTGCGATAGTCTATGCACATTCGGTCAGTACCATCCTTTTTCTTAACCAGTATCAAGGGAGATCCATAATTTGATTGAGATTCTCGAATAATTCCACTGTCCAACAGTTCTCCTATAATAGTGGCTACTTTTTCCTTCTCACTCTTAGACATCCGATAAGGACGACAGGTAAATGGTCTATCTTCTTTAAGGTGTATGGTCATTTCATCTCCTGTCCTAAGGCATCCCAAATCAGTTCAAACAACTGCTTACGTTCATGCTCTCCTATGGGTCCATGGATTATGTCTTCTAGAGGTAAATCAGGTAAATCATGTGCAGTAATGGCCAAGACTCTTTCTGTTGCTGGCTCCTCTATTACACAAGTCCATGCCCTAGCAACTAGCTGTTGCTTTCGAATAATAAGGTCATTGTCAGAGAGGTTTATCACAGGTACTGTGTTTCCATTTGTTGGTTCTTGAATGCCTAAGACGACTCTCGGAATGCAGTGTTCCTGATTCTCCTTTAAACGAATACTTGCGTCGACGAAAAGTTCACCTGTATAATCCGTGCCAACAGCTACAGGTACATGACAAAGATGATTTGATGGTATCACCGTTGTTTTGCAGCCAATAGAGTTACCTTATTCGTTGTTTCTTCTTTTCCCAGGTCAGGTAGCTCGCGACTTAATGTCAAAGTCGTATAATCTTTGGTTAATTTTACTTGAGGCTGTTCAGTGAATGACCTTAGTAGATATGCTATAGGCGTACGGTGACAAAATCCCATGTATTTTCTTATGGAGGTTCAAATTAGCAGTTTTTGACGAATTTTACCCCCACTCCTCCACCTTTTCCCTTCCCCCTCCCCTTCCCCGCCAGCCAATCAGAGCGCATCATTTTTGGCGGGAAATTCAAATGAAGTCACCTAGGGCTTTGCCCCTCGGGCCCCCATGTAGGTATCTCCACGTAGGTATGCAGAATCCCCCACGTAGGCGCGTGCTCCCTAGGACCCTCACCTAGGACTTTGCCCACCTAGGGTTTTGCCCCACCTAGGGCTTTGCCCCTAGGGCCCCATGTAGGTATCTTCATGTAGGTATGTAGGATTCTCTACGTAGACAAGAGTATTGTGCGTAGGCCTCCGCGTGTACCCCGCGTAGGTATACCTAAATTGTATAGGGCTTCGCCCGCCACCGCGGGNGATTATGTCTTCTATAGGTAAATCAGGTAAATCATGTGCAGTAATGGCCAAGACTCTTTCTGTTGTTGGCTCCTCTACTACACAAGTCCATGCCCTAGCAACTAGCTGTTGCTTTCGAATAATAAGGTCATTGTCAGAGAGGTTTATCACAGGTATTACTGTGTTTCCATTTGTTGATTCTTGAATGCCCAGGACGACTCTCGGAATGCAGTGTTCCTGATTCTCCTTTAAACGAATACTTGCGTCGACGAAAAGTTCACCTGTATAATCCGTGCCAACAGCGACAGGTACATGACAAAGATGATTTGATGGTATCACCATTGTTTTGCATGCCAATAGAGTCACCTTATTCATTGTTTCTTCTTTTCCCATGTCAGGTAGCTCGCGACTTAATGTCAAAGTCGTATAATCTTTGGTTAATCTTACTTGAGGCTGTTCAGTAAATGATCTTCTTACTAGTAGAGGCACATCTTGTATCGAATCTGGTACTACATTTATGTCCAACTCACACTCTACGTCATCAATTTTAATTTTGCAGCGGACAGTTCCTAAAGATGATATTATTGAATTACCATAACCTTTAATAAAAACCGTTTTAGATACATCAATTTTTAAGTTCAATTTTTCTGCTTCAGTTTTGGTTATATTTGTACATGAACTTCCAGTATCAATATACAATTTAATAGGAACGTCATTTATGGCACCATCTTTAAAATATTTTGCATTCGTGTCAATGGGTATGGAATCTAGTCATAACGTAGATTCCTTAGATGTTGTTGGTCTCGCATGTGGTTTGGCAAAGCACCTATTCTCTTCATGCCCTCTCTTATGGCAGAAGCTACAGACTTTGGTGGTTATGGTACTAGTCGTCTTACAATGGAAAGCTTTATGGCCAGTTTTTCCACATGTAAAACATTTCAGTTCAGTCGAACCAGATGCTCTATTTGATTTTTGTCCTCTTCTGTCATGGAAAAACTTTCTATTATCGCATCTAGAATCTTTAGTTGGACCACTGGTCTGCTTTAATGTTCGGAGATAGGTAAATAATTGTTCAGGCTCAGCATAACTTCCAGCACGAGCAGATGTTTTAACATGGTCATCTTGAAGACCCTGTATAATGCATGAAACGGCGTCGGTGCCATGTATATTCCCACAGTTATTGATCAACGATAACTTCTCAAAATAATAACGTGTATAAGATTCATTGTAACTTTTCTTTCGTTTCATCATTTCATCCAGTCTATCAGCATAATCTCTAGCGGTGGGAAAAGCATGCTGTAGTTTTTCTTTCCATTCTACCCAAGAATAGTTTACAGATTTAAGACTACGGTACCATGTTTCGGCTAACCCCCGTAGTTTTGCTAAGGCATAATAAATTGTCGCATCCTCCGGCCAATGAAATACCATTCTTAATTCGTCAATCTTATTACACCATACAACCACATCTTGCTGATTGTCCTCTGGATCAAAATAAGGGACGGCATCACCCTTAAAACCAGTTGAGGTAGATGGTCTCTGACTTTGACTTCCCAGTTGAGTCAAAACATCACGCATGACATTCGCAAGTTGGTCAACTGCACTCAAACTTTCGCTAGGCTCACTTGCGGTTTCAGCAATGGGAACCAGTTCTTGCATCGCTTCAGGTTCAACCTCAGGTGGACCAGACAGATTTGCGCGTGTCCTCTTTGCAGGAGGACCGCCAGTTTGTCTGCTACGTTTTCCCATGCTTATTCCTTCCTTTTCTCACCAACAGCTCAAAAGTATTTCAACTATTCAGTGGCAATCTCTTCAATGCTTATCCTTTCAATGGTTATCCCACTTCTGATAATTTGTTAGGGGCGTATATACCGAGCGTGGACCATTGAAGGATACTGGATACTTATAATTAATTTTTAATAAACAAAACACTTACTGTGCTCACAAGTCAGGGTCTGGCTGTCGTCAGGAGCGACCTCTGGCACTTAAGCTAAGCTCAGGACCTTTTTTCCGAAAATAAAAGAAACACACATGAGTACCCAAGCATACCCTCACCTTAAGCATAACAACTTAAATCAATTACTACTGTTTAGATATACTTTTCTCAAATTGCTGCAGCTAACTCTACTCAAAACATCTTTTACTGATATGGCCAATTCATTCAACTATTTATCAAATATCAGGCTAACAATGCAAACCGACCAAACCACCTCTGCACAACCAACATTGGCTGAAAAACAATAGCACTGAGATAGTTCATGGCCAGACCATCCGTACCGGAGCCAGACTGTATCACCGCAGCTAACAGCCTCCTAAGGTACCCTCCGTGTCACCGCAGCTAACGGTTCGGACTGTATCACCGCAGCTAACAGCCCTAGGATACCCCGCTCATGGCCAGACGCGTCCAATTCCAGAACCAGACTGTATCACCGCAGCTAACAGCCTCTGAGATATCTCCCGTGTCACCGCAGCTAACGGACGGACTGTATCACCGCAGCTAACAGCCCTAAGATATCTCCATACCTCAGAACTAGACCGTATCACCGCAGCTAACGGCCCTTCACAACAACTCTCAACAAAACAATAATAGGCAGGTCTGGTCAAGCAAACATTGCTACCAATTTCCACATATGATTCATTTCAACAGTACAGAATACTTAATTAACAATTAGTAAGCATGCTAAGATACTCAGTGATAACTCACCCTGTAATTCACAATTACAAGAACTCCAATTATTTCCTCTTATTGACACTGTCTTTAAACTACACACACGCACACTTCACGGTCTTTTATAAAATGAGACCATATATAGGAACCGTATTAGGGTTCGACTAAAACAGGGTAGAAGGCATTCATTCTTTATCAGTGTTTATATTAACATCACACCTCGGGCTAGTCGGCGCATCAGCCTTCTCAGCGTCTTTAGTCAAATAAATATCTAATATAGGATGTCCCTAACAAATATTATTACAACATGACATTTTGGAGACCTTTTGAAACGGAACAGAACGAAATTAACCATCAATATAATAAAATTGTTTGAGGACATAAATAATTAAAATATATTGTTGGCCAAATGAACATAGGTATAATAGAAATTTTCTACACATACAAACTATTATAATTTTTTACCTTTAGCAGAAAACTTTTTTAGGGACGCCGATTACGATGTTAAATTTTGCTAGAGTTGATCGTGTTGAAAAAAAATAGTGAGCAATTCTTTGCAAAAAAAATTATAACCTTCTTTTAATAAAAAAAATAAATTTATTATGCAATTTAGAATAACTTTTATAGTAAAATATCGAAACCCGCAATAATACAAAACGGTGTGTTGATCCCTAATCTACGGATTCAGTTCGGAAAAGGAATAGGTCCAGTACACTGTATCCACAATCGTATTAAATTCATATCTCCAAGGCAGCAAAACACATAACGATTTTTAATACTCATCGGCTTCGCTTTCTCGATAATAATATGTCGTTTCTTAATAACCGCGGGATCGGGGCAGGCCGATTCTGCCAATTGAAATACGAAATGCAAATCTAGTACATACATCAACAAGTTTTATTTATTTCATTTGTGCACATTTTTTCTTTGAAATTTCATTTTTTCTTTAATAAAATCGAAGTGCGCTCAAGGGATCAGTTGACGACTGGCAACCTCTTTAAGCAGGAACTCTTAAAAAAAACAAATTTCGAATAACATATTTTAACCTCCTTTTCCTCAATATTAACTTATTAGGTAGGTACTTAATTTTTATTTTGTATCCGTTTCTGGTTTTAATAGGTAGCGCCTATTTAAAAGTGATGCATTGCTTAAAATTAAAGTATTTAACTATATGGGACGAGAGTCCCCAAAACCAGATTCCGTACCTTATTGTTAGACCTGAGCATAGTACAGACCTATCACATTTGAAAAGCTTCGCAAATTTTTTACTTGGTAGGACCCTCTGTTAAGTTTTTGTATTAAACTATCGCATTGTGGATGCCAATTTAAACAATCATCAATATGTAAACCGAGGAATATCATGCTATCAGAATCGCGCGGAATAAGAGAATTATTGATTGTAACGTTAAGCGGGTCACAATGTTGTTTTTGTCTGGTATGAAAACGTAAAAGCTGAGTCTTATCGGGATTCGAATACAAAAAGTTTTGCACAGCACACCGTTACATTTATTAGTTAAATTTTTGTCTAATTTGTCAGATAAAATGATTGGAATATCTGCATGTAAAGTAAAATATGCTGCAGTAGACAAATTTGCCAAGTCAATTATGTACAACAAGAAAAGGACCCAATATAGAACCCTGTGGTACATCGAGTGTTGTACTTCTTCTATGCGAATCAATATTATTTATAGACACAAACTGAGTTCTGTTATAGAGAAAACCTTGTGTCCTTATTTCTGGAGTCCTAAAGAGTTTAAATTAGGGCTTGATTAGAAAATTGATTGTTGTTCGCGCCTTTTTAAAAAACGAAACCGCTTATAATTAAAGATCGGTGAAAAAACTTTATGAAAAAGTCTAACTGTTCCAACTCGGTAACATTAACAATTTTCGAGAAAAAACTAATTTAATTCAAATTCGGGTACTCTCGTATTATTATTTTACATTCCCAATTTTTATACTATATAAATATAATTAAATATAGTTAGGCAGATTTTAATTTAATTGTTTTTCCAAAACCATATTTTTATTTTTTAATAACGTTTTTATTTGAAAGAGGATTCTTATTAATATTTTTTAATGATCTTTAATATTTGTTGATTTAATATTTTGATAAAATACAAAAAAAAAATTGTAATTAATTTTTGTATTCTCCACCAAATTTTGGAAATAAAAAATATTAATTAAAAAACCCACTTTGATGTTATGAAATTACGAAAATTTGAGTAAAATCACTCAAATTTGTTTGTCATAATTATATAACCATGCGTATGCATCGCAATATTGTGAAGGTTTTGGACAGCGCATATCGTACAGTCCAATATTCCTGTCGAGTCAGGAAAATTGTTTTTACTTTATTGTAAAGGTATTAATTAAGTAGGTAGGTTAATTCAAATAAATTAGAAAGTTTTTCCAAAAAAATCTTATCAAATTAACTCGTTGTCTGAGTATGCAATAGATATCTAACTTCACAGACAAGATTTTTAACCTAAATTTTTAATATGGAAGAAGATTGTATCGTCTAATATCATTAACGTTTCGAACATTCGAGTCCCATGTTGGGCACCATGTCGTCTAATTCCATTATTCACTCGGGAATTACCTCTAATATGGGGAGAACCGGCATTTTACTGAGCTCATCGTGTATATCCTGCGGTACTGGGACTCTTCTCTCCTATTCGCCTGGCAAAGAGGCAAACGGAATGTTCGGACGCCTCCTTCATCACGCCAACCTCAACGGACGGCTTGGGGGTGTGTATGTCGCGTTGGCCACATACCCTCCACTGGAGGCGAGGTTTGTTTCTGGAGATGTGGACAACAATCTAATTTATTTTGACTTTTTCCAGTGTTGTACACCCTAGGGATGTCTTGGTTTCTGAAGACTTTCAACTGAGTCTAGTTGCACTAAATGTTTTTTTCTACACTTCGAGTATGGTTACTCTGGTGTCTGCTTTGCCTTGACTAGTACTAATCTGAGTTCCTGTGAGTACCTGAAAATTTGGAAGTTTGAGTAGGCCTCCAATGAGTACCCATGAGTTTAGGAAGTTTCTAAGAACTTGTTTCATCCTTCAAAAACCTCACCCCAGGATTGGATAATCCCTGAGGCACTAGAACTGAGTAGACCTACAGTCCGGGAGCAATTTTACATTTATTTACAGTAAATGGTATTTAATAAGCAGAGGACATTATTTAATGCAAATATGAATTTTGTGTCGTACTACACGCACTGGCCAGATATACGTCCCTGGTTACTGAACTACAAGGTATCAGGGTCGACATTCGATCCCAATCCTTGATGGGTCCGTAGGTTGGGACAATTGGTCTCTTTGAATTTTGCCCATTTTTACACTATAGTCGCCTGGAACGGGTGATGGACTTGTAGTCTAACATGATACTGTAATTTAGTATTGCGGTTCCCCAGTTCGAATTTCGATTTTTTTATTTTCCGAAATTCGAAACTGAGGTGAATTTTCTATTTCTACAGCCTTCTGCTTTTCATGGAAAGTAATTTAAGTCTTCTCGGACATGGATTTTTGTCGCGATTGGCTCTACGTAGATTGGTTGGAGATGGTTTCATAGTTCCGACTGAAAAGTTGAGCGGAAATTTTTTGAGGAAGAGCGTATATAGCTATCCACAGCAACTACGAAAGTTTAATTTTGGTCGTCAGTACTTTTGATGGCCTAATTATGGATTCTGGAAAATTTGAAATCCGCTCGAAACTTGGAATACAATTATTTTATTTCATTTGATGGCATTTTTTTGAAAAAAAATCTATTTGTATTAATAATAATTTAATCTTTTTTTTCTGTGCATAAACTAATAGCTTAAAGTAGGTACCTAACTTTAAAATCATTAACATTCTGTTTTACAAATTAATTAAAGGGTATTAAGGGATAGGGTTTATAAGTTATTACAAAATTTCTAACTTTGTTTACTGGTTTTGTAGCGTAGTGTACTCAATAAACACTATTTATT